CCCGACGTTTCGGGCGCTTTCCAGCACCCATGGTCACGGGGGACTGAGATGAATGGAAAAGTAAATAAAAAGTAAAAATAAACGCGATAAAATCCGTAAAAGTAGTTTTAATCATGTATAGTGTTCGCGTAAATATAAGAAATCATTATAAAATAAATCAATACATAATAATAATAATAAATACGATAGTACATGTGATATATATATATATATATATATATATATATATATAAACTATATATATAATACTATTATTAATTAACAGGATGCAAAGTAGTTATCTCTAAGACGTTTCTTGAATACCAATAAAGTATCCGAATTTCTTATATATGACGGTAGTGAGTTCTATAACCTTACCGCGTGAACTGAAAAGGAGTGAGAGTAAAAACCGGAATTATAGACTGGAAAGTCAAGAAGAGTTTTAACAAGGGATCTGCATGGTTTGTCCGGAGGATGGGTGAAGGAAAATCGGCTTCTGAGGTATGTGGGAGAGGAAGGGTTGTGCAAAATGTTATAGAGGAGAAATAACAATCGAGTGTTCCTTCGAAGTCGAATTGGGAGCCACTTGAGTTGCTTATGAAACTGAGATATACGATCAAATTTCTTGAGCCCAAATATAAAACGGATACACTGATTTTGCAAGCGCTCAAGTTTATTAAGAAGGTCCTCTGTAGCATCCAAATAACAGGCATCCGCATAATCAAGGAGAGGTAGGATAAGAGTAAGCACGAGTGATATTTTAGCTTTAAGGGGTAAGAAATTTTGTAGACATTTAAGCGAATGCAAAGTAAAGTAGATCTTGTGTCTAACCTCAGCGATATGCGTGGTCCATGTTAAATGGTGATCAAATATGACGCCTAAGTTTTGACAGTATTGGCAAAGGGTATAGGAACGCCATTAAAACAAACAAGAGGTAGTGATGTAAATTCTAATCTATTACGCAAATGCCTACTGCCTATTATGATGGCCTGAGATTTCGTGGGATTAACTAATAGTCCGAAGGATGCAGACCATTCACAGATGCGGCTCAGATCCGTATTCAAGGCTGCAATTGCATTGTTTGTATCACCCACCGGAAAATGATGATAAAGCTGTAAGTCATCCGCGTAGAGATGGTAATTAGATGTAATAACACTCGTAATAGAGTTAATAAATATGGAAAATAAAAGGGGGGAAAGAACGCCACCCTGAGGTACACCCGTAGTGATACCAGACCAATCGGAAAGAGTGTCATTAACACGGACAAAATGTGATCGACCACGAAGATATGAATCAAACCATGCGATGGCAGATGGGGAAATGTTTGTAGATTCAAGGATCCGGAGAAGAATATCAAAGTCTACTGAGGTAAAAGCACTACTAAAGTTAAGCAAAACAAGTGTAAGAGATTTATTGTCCATGCCCCAACGGATATCATCAGCAGTGACAGTGCTGTGTCCACGACGAAAGCCCTTATGATAAGTGGAGAGCAAGGAGTTAGACGATAAGAAGAGAGAGAGTTGACTATGGATGATGTGTTACAGAACTTTAGAAAAAAAGGGTAAAATAGATATAGGACGAAAGTGGGACAAAGAAGAAGGATTAGAAACCTTAGACAGAGGAATTATATATGCTTGTTTCCAAACTGAAGGAAAAGATGATGACGATATATAGAAAAATTAAATATGTGAGTGAGAATTGATAGAAGTAAAGGTAGAACTGGCAAAATCATCTTCGCGCATAGATCAATACCAACAGCATTCGAAGAGTGGCTTGGATAGATTTTTTGACATCTTTCTCCGTCACAAGGGAAAGATGAAAAGGGCAAACGTGTGGTTTCGGTATACCCGACAATGCGAGTAGTGTGTTGGATTTGATGTAAGGATCTAAAGTCATAGGAGGAGTAGCAAAGTGATTGTTTAGATCCTTTACTTTTTTTTATATACACTGCAGAAAAAATTCCTTAAAAATAACTGCCTGATTTTATAGCACAGTTCGTTAAAGTTTGATTTACGTACATATGTATTTACGAATACCTGTTACTCGAAAGACTTCTCACAATAATTTAAAAGTTAAAATAAAACAAACAAAAGGTTTCTTAATATAATAAAAAAATTTATTTGTAGCTTAAATTCTACACTATTTCGAAGATAGCAAGTCACGATGACTTAATTTTTAGATTTAATCTTGTCACGTTCCTCGTTAACGCAACCACGAAGAACTGTGAATGGCATTCAAATATATTCCCACACTTATTATTTTCATTTTACCTTTCTTAATCAACTACCACACTCAAACGATGAGTAATGAGCAACATATTTGAGGAAAAATTATTAAATAAAATGACGTCTAAAATAAAATGTATTAACGAATCCTTCAAAAAACATTTATTTCAATAAATTTCCTTTCAAATTTCATTACAAATTTCATTTCAATTAAGCTTTAATATCAATTTCAAAGCATCTTCTTCAAAATCACAGATTAGTGATAGGAAATAAAATTACCGGCTACGCTATATTCAACATGTCTGTATGGTGGATATAGCAAGTGACAAGCTAGCAAACTGTGTTTTATAGATACCTACATCTATCTTCAAAGTTCCGCCGTGTGATGGGGGCGTAAGAGAATCCACTAGAATAGAATAAGAATAGAATAATTTATATTCAATATAGATTACAAGTAATTCTTGCTAAAAGTTTTTTTTTATTACATAAGATGTCAAACGAGCACACAGTCCACCTGATGTTAAGTGGTTGCAGTGGCCCATAGACATCTACATCTATCATCGATTATGAATCAAAATGCAGATGCATTGTCATCCGTGAGGACTTAGGTTGAATGCCTCGTTCCCAGTAAAAAGGGTCTCCGGTTCTCTACACTCACCATACGAAAAACAGCAGCATTAAGCTACTATTTGACGCTGGTATTCTGTGAGAGCGTCACACCTACGACCTACACCTACCAATAAAACTGCAGCATGGCTCTACCACGTAAAAATTATTATATTTTAGTTATTTTTACTTTTAACACTGGTACGGAAAAAAACTTCTGTTCTGGAAAGAACCTGCAAGAATCCCTGGGAATTTTTGCCAAAGAAAACTTTACAATAAGAACACAGGTTTTACAAACTACTTATTAAACTTATTCAAATAACAGCAAAATTTTCCCTTGGTGTCTTAAAAGTTGACAGTGAAAATGAAACATGAGATTGATCTTCCTATTAATATATTAAAACAATAAAAACCTGAGGTTGCCAATTCGCCAGCCAAGCGTGGCGACTAACGCAAACGTCCTCCTAATGAGGAAATCTATGAGGGAGGCCTATGTTTAGAAATAGACCTCTGATAATAGAAACTGTAATAAATGAATGAATCCTTGATTAATAATCAAAATGCTGATGCGTAGTCAACCCTGAAGACTAAGATTAAATACCTTCTTACCAGTAAATACGTCTTCGGTTTTCATCGCTAACCATACGAAATACAGTAGCATTATGCTGGTATTATGTGCAGCCATCCCCGGTCAAGCTAACATATTTGGTCGCCATAATACAACGCTTAATTGCTCTGCCATGTAAATATAAATTGGAAAATCTCTCGAAACTGCATCATTTAGCTATTGCAGATCGAAAGGACTTACATGCGAGTATATAGCAACGAATTTTTAGAGGCTGCTCAGAAAAACTTGTTCATTATCACTCGATAATGTGGATTTCTTGACTGGTCAGGTATTGTTATTTTAAAATCACAGAATAAAAAGAAAGATAGACAGAGTGGTGCATACATTTCATGTGACCATGCTCAACTTCTTGACACACACTCACGCATATATATTTCTTCTTTACATAATAGTTAATAACTTTGTAAAAATTAAAAATTTACTTTAAATATTGGCACTAAAACACTAAATCATCAAAAGACACAATATAATTGTTTAAAATATTCTTAATATAATGTATATAAACACAACAGTGTTTATTCAAGTATAACATCGAATGCACGCAATAGAATTCATTAAAGTGGTCACAGTTGAACAGACTATCGATACGGAAGGCTAGCCTGATAAGAAGCGATCAGAAATATTAGCATCACGGGCTAGGCGTTGATGATAAATGTCATAAGGATATACGGCACGGCGGAATAATTGTTGTCTAAAACTCTTAGAACTTAATGCTGGCCCCTATATAGCTATGGCACGTATATGGACTATAACTTAACATTACTACTTTTTTTAAAATACAGTTGTAAATGTATTTCGATATATTATTAAAAAAATCCTGATTAAAATTCTTGAAGAAGGTATAAAGTGAATCTAAAAAGTAACGTATATTTAAACAATAAATATTCGGGACAGTATTGATATGAGTTACGGTACGATACGGAATGGTATATCGGTAACAATTAACTCTTTGCTTTAAAAAATATTTATAAATAGTTGCTTCTCCGCCAGCCCGTAGAAGTCTACATCTGGACATGAATATCCTCCGTTGTATGAAAGATTGCGTTTGATAAATTGCTTAATGTCGAGTAAATTTACCTACTTTTAATCTGTTCTATTAGAAAGGTAGCGCTTATGTATTTATCATCATCATCATCATCATCGTCATAATCGCAGTCCAACACAAGTCCACTGATGATCGTAAACGTCCCCTAAAGAACACCATAAGGCACGTTCATGAGCCACCTACATCCATCTAACTTCCTACATCTTGCCAGATCGTCTTTCCGCCTACTGGAAACTTACTGGTTGAATACTAAATTTTTGTTCAAATATTGAATAAAAAATGATAATGATTCTTTAGGTCACGTTAACGATATAAAACCTATATTAATATAAATATTTTAAATTAAGATGTAAAAATTTTATTCAAATAATAACTAGAAATTACCATCGCTATTAGAAGTTAGTAACATTTATAAATGAATACATTGATACTAAACAACATTTAATACTAAAACCCCAACAAACTTTAACGCTTTATCGCTACCTGTTAAGTTGTAAATAATATTATATAAGCTCACCTCTCTCTGCGAAAGCATCTGCACTTCCCGTCCCGATGTCCTGCAAATTTTGTTCTTCCGCACCGATGTCATTAATACCAATGCTCTGATCACGGAACACAACATTGTCGCTTAAGTTTGGGCCGACGTGAGAGTTAGTCTGCACAGAGTTAATGCTATCCGAAGCATACGGAAACACAACACGGGGACTGCGTGCTTTCCAACCACTAGTAGGCCCATAAAACCCGTTACGCACTGCGGGAGCAAATGAATACGGATCGAAGCCATAACTCGGCGCGTAAGGACGACCGAAACGTCCTTGGTAATACTTAGGATACACTTGAAATGGAGGAGGTCGGAATCGTGGCAGTGGTTCATAGAACCTTTCGTTTCCTGATGGAGGATAGTTATCTTGTGTCTTTGTTGAACTCGCTGCGTCTTCAGATGATGTAAACTCGTAATCCGTACTATCATCGAACTTTATCTTTGAACTGTACTTATCTGTAGTTAAATCTATCTCACCGCGTCCAAATGGTTGATTGTTCTCATCCTCATCCAAGAACAACACCCTAGACTGTTTCGAGCGCCTGTAGAGATGTTTTGGTACAAACATAGGACTTGTTCTAGGTTTTTGGTAGACTATGCTAAGCGCGCGGCTCGACTCGACAGCCGCAACGGACGCAGCAACGAGCAATATCACTTTCCATCTATTTTCGCTCAACATGTTGCATCGGTCACTGCTCTGTTGATTTCACTTTCATTTTATGCGATATGTTAGAAATTTAAAGAACTTTTTTCCTGAAGAGCATTAATACATTTTTTCTTAAAAATGTTTCGCGAATTTAGACGTAATAATTCATGGTGTGATTTTTGGTATGAGAAATACGTGCGCGGCGGTCGAGTTACAGGCGCGGACTGGGTGCTTACTGGGCCCACTCCGACGCACAACTGGGGGTTACATAAAATGATGTGCTTGTGACACTGGATGTTTATGTAATGCCTAGTACCGCTAGATTTGTGATAGCGTTGCTCAACAGCAGTAATGTTTAGAAGACCTTATCAAAGCTATTTTCAATATTATAATAATGATTAACTGTCCTTCTATACTGTAAATTAAAATCAAAAGGATATTAAAGTTACTGATTAGTTTTTTTCAGTTAATTGATGTATTCAGCTGTTTTCATAACATAATTTCATCACTATTTATGAATAAATCCGTAAATAGTCCAGTACGCTTGGTAAATGAATTGGAAGTAAAGTAAAGGAATTGGAAAATGAATTGGTGAGCGTTGTACCAGATCTCTAGAAACTTAGATAAACTAAAACTTAGGATAAACGCATATAATACTTTTTTCTCAAAACTGATGTGACAAATAAACTTAATGTTTGCCTGATGGTAAGAAATCACTGCAGCCCATAGAAACATACATCCAACTTCGAATAAAGAAGGTTAGAAATGCATTGTATACTCTGAGGTCTAAGATAGAATGCCACACAGCTTGTAGTTATATTGACTGTAGAGTAAGTATATAATATATTGTAGAGTATAGAATCAACTCTTCGAAACACATTAGCCATATCGATCACCAAACAGCAGCGACAGAAATAGGTTAGAGAGTACCCAACCAGATAGATTCCTAGGCAGATATGAAAACGCACCACTTAAAAAATAGAAAAATGAAAAATACTAAGATATAATAATGACTTTCATTACGTCCATATCACATCGATCAATTTATTATACTATAAAAACATTTAAAAGAAACATTTTCATAAAAAAACTTGAATTCATATATTTTTAAATAAAGGGGACAAAAACATTCCATAACAAATAAATACAACACCTTTTTTATTAATTATTAATCGAGTAGTATACAACCGTAGAAAGTGGGTTAAATGATAATTGAGGATATAAACCGTGCCAAATCTTATTTCATATCCGGTTAGTTGTTGACGCATAATTGAGTAACTAAGAAACCGGTTGTTTTTGTTTTCAATAATTACCACAAAAATTTGACACTATATTATATACTTTACCTATTTTGAATATTATAATTAAAATAAACTGTATGGGCATGTTATAAAAAGTCAACACAAATCTTACATGGTGCCTGCTTCTACTTATTAACGAACGAGGGTCTGGCAAGCAACAAATTAATGCCGAAACATTTATTCAATACTTCCACACTCGGATCTCACAGATGGGTGATGATCACTGACCTCTATATATACAAGTACGCTGAACTGGCTATACACCGTGACATGCTGAAGCGATTTGATTTCCGCCATTTTGGCGCTGACAGCAGAAGTGCACGTCCACGGAACTAATAATAGGGATAAGACAGTGTACCAAATTATATCGATAAAAATTCTATACCCTACCTATACCTAAATAAATAGAATAGACTCTATGGATAGATGGACTCTACCCGTAACGTCCATTCTATTTATGTATCATATTAATATAATCCCATTACCATTCATCATCATTAAAACTCTTCACAAGTCCACTGCTGAACATAGGCCTGACGAGAAGATGTTTCGTAATTTCTCGAACGCTGCCCAGCCGAGTTGAATCCGTCGATTGACCTCTCGGTCGAAGTTGGACATACCTAATCGGACTATTTGTCCCAGGTAAACGTACTCGTCAACAACTTCGAGCTTAGTGCTCCCAACAACTACGGGCATAGGTTTGACATGGACATTAAACATGATCTTTGTTTTGTCCATGATCATCTTAAGATCCATCCATTGGGAGGCACTATTGAGGTCATTGAGCATATTGCTTAAGTCCTCCAGCAATTCTGCCATAAGGACTATATCGTCGGTAAATCGAAGGTGAGTGATATACTCGCCATTGATGTTAATAACGTATCCTTTCCAGTCCAGTAGCTTGAAAACGTCTTCCAATGCAGCGGTGAAGAGTTTCGGGGATATAACGTCACCCCGTCTTACATCTCTCTACAGTTGGATTAGTTTTGTACTCTGGTTCTGTACTCGGATAGCCATCATAGCCCTTAACCATTCAACCAAAAAAATTATTCAGATTAAACGAACTACAGAAAATAAAAATAAAAACATAATTTCTAGAATAACTTATTGTCAACTGTTCATTTAGTTCTAGTATTATAAAAAACAAATCAGCTGCTATAATAACGCCTATTCTAATCAACTACAGGTCTGTCTAAGGACAGTAAAATATGTTCTACTATATAAAAATTTATGTTTGTTCGTACTTTCGACGATGCAATACCGTTCATCAGATTGCGATCAAACTTAGTCAACTTATTGGTTGCAATTGTGCGAAGGTTATACGCATGGTACAATTAACTGACACTAGGTGCGTTCGTATTATACCGACTATTTATTTGAAAGTTACAGAAAGTTATATATCATTCTAATTCAATGATTGTATTATCATTCCTAACTAAACAATATAATAACTGTTCCACATTTTTAACGATATTTCCACAATTATTTCTTCTGAGGCAGCAACGCGCCGGGTACGATTATATAAAAAAAAACATAAACTTTGAATTACATAGTTATCAGTTATTTACAACGGCATTTTCGAAATTGAATTTACAATATTTAAAAAAAAAATAAACTGAAATTATCATAAAGTACTACTTTCTGTGGTATCGTCCCAAGAATGCTGGCTACTTGTCCTCACTGAATGGCTATACTTAGCCTTCAAGCGAGGAAACAACAAACTAAACAACTTCTTATTACCAGCAGCGATGATCAGTCGCAGATACAGTTTTTTAGAAACTACACCGCACGTGCACCCTACGGACCAATAGTCTCTACAGCAAATTGCACAAATATGTACTTATCTTCCAGATACTCTGGGCTATTTACTTGGTTCAGTTGCCTCTAATGCCACCCCTGCTTTAGACGAGGTACCCTTGAGATGGGATGCTGTGAAAGTATTCGCAAGTAGTATCCCACACTAAAGCTTTATCTCTCTCTCTCAAGCAACTAAACCCATACCGTCAGGTCTCCTGGTATCGTCTCTAAATATTCTACAAAGATCTGAAACCGAGGAAACATTTATAGAGATACGAGCTGCACTACGGACTCACCGAGCCCGATATGTGAATGGAGCTAGGAAAAAACGAGCACTTGGAAGCAGCAAGTGGTGCAGCCTCACCAAAGCCGCGAAAGATAGTCGAGTGGCGCATCGCCAATCGTCATACCAACACTGCTCTTCCCTTACGACTCCACCTCGACTACAGCGGTCCAGGGATAGGAATCTCCTCTAGCCGCAGCCCACTAACACACATCCAACGTGGCTCGACATTATCAGGCGATCTTTCGACACTTGTCTATGGCCCTTGAGTTTGTTTGAAATTGAAGAAAGAAGAAATAAAAAAACATTCGATATAATAATCTAATACTTTTATACTTACTGGTTACTGGTACCAGAAAACATTGTCGGTATACTGCACTTTTTCAAAGTGTTGCAGTTCTCATGTCTAATAAAACGGTCGTCTGTAAAATGTTTGGAACAAATATGATCATTTTGTTTCGGACGCCAATTCACAATATTTATGCTTTTAAGCCATAATTTTAGTCTAGGTTCAGTTGGAAACCTGTTAATTAAATAAACATTTGATAATCATCCGTTGTTGGCGATTTTGTATGTTAACAGATATGAGTAGGAAAGAACATCGATAAGTATTATAGACAAGGAACTCGACAACCCTATTGAATTTTATTGTTTATCAAAACTCAGTAATATACACCCAAACATGTTGGTATATACGATATTGAGATTAGTAACAAATTTTTAAGTTCTTGTATTGTCAAATAGTTTTAATTTCTTTAATATTTGCTGCAAATTCACTTACTTGTGAAATGCTATACCACTTCGCTTTTGGTAACGAGTTTTACAGATTACGCACACTCTCATTATTAATAAAAATAACTCTTATTATGTAACTAATATTATACACAATCTAACAACAAAATACTTTCGTTTTTTAGTTTAAAAGTTCAAAATACAGACTTATGAGATAAGACAATATAAACAAGACAACAGACTTTACGATTTTATTTTTCAAGACATCCTTTAGCGGCGCTTCAAATTGACACAGTCATTTTGCATGGTATAGCCAGTCCAGTGTACTTGTGTATATAGAGTTCAGTGGTGGTGAGTGACAACATTATTAGTGCAAGAGTACTTTTTAATGCGGATCTCACCAATTTATTTTCCCAGTGTGATGATTTTGATCAAATCTCTCAACTGAGGTATGTGTAGGATTTGACGCATTATTGACGGATCTATAGAGCAGTGGCAGAGCGTTTGGTCACGGCACTGTAGGGCCGCAGGTTGCTATCCCGCACGAAACAAGTATCAAGATGCATACAAACTGTGGCAACACTGTTATCGTGTCACAAAGGAAACACACTGGAGGTTTAACCGCGCTATCTATGTTCCGAAGTAAAGGCGCTATATATCCCTCCCGCGCGCGCTGGCTTACGCTCAAGCACTAAAATTCAGATGGGCTGGTCATATAGCCCGATGCGATGACAACAGGTGGACTATCATTGTAACCACATGGAAGGGCCCGCCAGGCAAACGCCGAGCAGGGAGACCCTACATGAGATGGGAGGATGACATAAAGAAGATCGCAGGAACAAGCTGGTTAAGATTAGCAAAAAAACAGAGAAAAATGGAAATCCTTGGAGGAGGCCTTTACCTGAGAGGGGTCCATGCTA